GCCAATGTCTCGCTTCAATTGGGGCCAGAAGTATCGTTCTTCTACAAGAGCCACAGTTTTATCTCGTCCTAGGTGTCCTCCCAAGCCACTCCCGTGTAGTTCATGGATTATTTGCTCCCGTAATGAACTTCTGGGAATATATAATTGGTTGCCCCGAAACAAGTAGCCCTCGTGAATATGCATTCCTTCATGAGATAGCCCCTGCTGACACTTACTCCAGATATTTCTGAAATCCTCATCTTCTGCATATAATTCTTTAAGGCATTCGAAGCCTATGACTTCAGCCCGCAGGGTGATGAGTAGTGACACTTTCCGGCTTAATGCGTCAGCCACTTTATTCAGTTGTCCTGACTTGTGTTTCAAAGTGAAGGTGAATCGTTGGATGAAGGCAACCCAACGAGCATGCATTTGGTTCACGTTGCTTTGACTGTTAAGGAATTTTAGTGTTTGGTGATCACTGAATAAAATAAACTCTCTTTGCACTAAGTAATGTTCCCAAACTTTCATAGCTCGAAATACAGCGTACAACTCAAGTTCATAGGTGGACCACTTCTGACGAGCCTCACTAAGTTTCTCACTATAGAATGCAATGGGTCTACCCTGTTGAGATAGAACAGCACCAATGCCAGCGATAGAAGCATCACAGTCTACCTCAAATAGTATATCAAAATCTGGCAGTGCTAAAACTGGGGCAGAAGATAACTTCTCTTTAATTAGTGCAAAACTATGCTCTGCTTCGGTTCCCCAATGGAATCTTCCTTTTTTCATACATTCAGTGATTGGTGCGACAATTCGGCTAAAATCCCTGACGAATCGCAGGTAAAATGTGGCTAACCCGTGAAAGCTACGCACGTCACCAACATTTTTCGGGGTAGGCCAATCCCGAATGGCTTGAATTTTTTCTTCATCGACTTTAATCCCATCAGCACTTACAATAAATCCCAAAAATAACAAACTGCTAGTCATGAATTTGCACTTCATTAAATTAACATATAATTTGTTTTGCTGCAAAACTGTCAGTACTTCTCGCAAGTGCTCAAGGTGATCAGATTCACACCGGCTATAAATCAGTATGTCATCGAAGTATACTACAACAAAGTAGCCAGTAAATGGTTTAAGTACCTGATTCATTAAACGCATGAAGTACTTGGAGCATTGGATAGTCCAAACGGCATTACCAACCACTCATATAAACCATCCTTCGTTTTGAAGGCTGTTTTCCATTCATCCCCGGGTCTGATTCGAATCTGATGGTACCCACTTCGTAAGTCAATTTTGAAAAAGATTTTGGAACCGGCCAGCATGTCTAGCATATCCTCTAATCGAGGGATGGGAAATCGATACTTAATAGTGATTTTTTTGATAGCCCGGCTGTCGATGCACATACGCTAACTGCCATCTTTTTTCGGTACTAACAAGGCGGGCACTGCACAAGGGCTCATGCTCTCCTGAACTAACCTTTTCTTTATCAGTTCTTCTACCTGCTCCTGTAGGACAAGACCTTCTTTCGAACTCATTCGATAGCGTGGTCGATTTGGTAGGCTAGCCCCGGGCATTAAATCAATATGATGCTGAATGTCGCGCATGAGGGGCAACTCCTCTGGTAAATCTACAGGTATGATGGCCTGGAATTCTGCTAGTAAAGGCTGCAGTACCTTTGGAATGTTGGGAGAGTCGATTTCAACTCCACCACCGACTACTATTGCAAAAACCTCACTGGCCCCGTTGGTTTCTGTTATAAATGTCCCCTCATCAACCAGTAATATAGGTTTACCATGCGCCTTTGGTTTTGCTGCAGAGAATTCTTCCTTTAGTGGACCCAATACTACCTTCTACCCTCCTCTCATAAAGACATACACATTGTCCCTGCCTTTGTAGGTAATGTCCACATCATATTGCCATAGCCTGCCTAGGATCATGTGACAAGCGTCCATTTCGACAACATCATAAATAATCTTATCCACGTAATTTTTCCCAATTGAAAATTGAATGCGACAAGTTTCAGTAACCTTTGTCTCTGCACCCCTCTTAATCCAGCCAATCTTCAAGGGTGAGGGATGTTTCTCCGTTTTCAAGCCTAGCTTCGTCACCATGGTTCTGGAGATGATGTTCTCGCTGCTGCCATTGTCAAT